TTTTTTTTTCTTTTCATTATCTGTTTGCCGACGCGCAGCTGCGTTTGTACACCCGAACACCGATCGGAGTTACGAGGCGCATCTGTCGCTTGCTCTTCCCATCCAAAAATTTCCTTTGCCGCTGCCGCTGTGCACAGGCATGGCGCAATGGATGACATCAAAAGGCGGCTAAGAGATCGGCTCTGACGGGTCCACTTAACAGGCCCTCTCGGAGCCACCGTCGTCCGTACCTACCACCGTCCCGCCGTCGACGCCACCTGATACACTTCCTTATATCCATTCTCACACAAGCGGTGCGCATCGCCAATTCATCACTGATCACTGTTGCCCAACATCGTGACGTCTGCGGCCGCCACTCAGCCAAACACACCGGCTATGTCGCCGCACGACACCTCAGCCGACACCTCTGGCGCTCCTGCACTAGAAATGCGTCAGACAGCTCCTTCTGTCGCCGACTCGCAGCCTCTAGCTCGCGTCACCAGTACGGGCACCTGGGGCGAGCCGGAGCGTGGCGAGCACGTTAACGTCGACCAGGCTCTCCAAGACTTTCAGCTCGCCAGGAAATCTTCACGCCAATCCGCCACTGGCTCCATTCCACAGTCACCTTCGAGCGGCCTCCGCGGTAGCTCGGCCATCGCACGCGCACTCAGTGGCGGTGATCGCCCAAAACAACCAGAAAAGATCAACGAAAACGAACCCGACCTCGAGGCTGCTTCCGAAGGAGATGCCTACGACAACGATTTCGACCTCGGCAAATGGATGCTGACGCGCGGCGCCCAGGCCAAGGAGGAAGGCATCGATAACGGAAAGCCCCTCGGCGTTCTCTGGAAGGACCTCTCCATCACCGCCCCAGGCTCAGGCGGCGGCGGTGTCTTTGTCAAGACTCTGCCCGTCGCCATCGCCAACACCGCGTGGAGAGATCCTATCGGTGTCCTCACCACCATTTGCCCTCCCCTTGCAAAGGTTTTCGCGCCTCGCAACATGCCCACCACCAACTTGCTCCACAGCACCAGCGGCATTCTCAAGCCAGGCGAAATGCTGCTCGTGCTAGGCCGTCCAGGTTCAGGTTGCTCCACCGTCCTGCGCGCCATCACCTCCAAGAACCACTTCAACGTGAGCACCTCGGGCAAAATCCTCTATGGCGGCTTCTCGCCAGAAGAAATCAATCGCAAGTACCGAGGTGAGGTCGTCTTTGTCGACGAGGAGGACACCCACTTCCCCACGCTCACCGTCGGTCAGACCCTCGAATTCGCCCTCAAGAACAAGGTCCCGCACCGCTCAAGGCGGCTACAGGGCGAATCCCGCCAGCAATTCATCGAGACTTGCATCGATGTCATGCTCAAGATGTTCGGCATGTCCCACGTCCGCGACACGATCGTCGGTGACCAGGCCATTCGTGGTGTATCCGGAGGCGAGCGCAAGCGAACCACAATCTCCGAGGCGCTCGCCACTCGCGCCAGCGTCATCGCCTGGGACAACTCCACCCGAGGCCTCGACGCATCTACCGCGCTCGACTACGCTCGTTCCCTGCGAATCATCACCGATCTCGCCCAGCGTTCCACCATCGCAACCCTCTACCAAGTGTCCGAGAGCATCTACGACCTCTTCGATCGCGTCGCCGTCATTGATCAAGGCAGGTGCATCTACTATGGTCCTCGTAAGCTCGCTCGCTCCTACTTCTACGAGCTCGGCTATGACACACCCGATCGACAGACCACCGCCGACTTTGTCACTGCGCTCACCGACACCAACCAGGTCTCCTTCCGACCGGGCATGGAGCAGCGTGCACCCAAGACGGCAGAGGACCGAGAGCGGGCGTGGAGGCAAAGCGAGCTCTATCGCCAGGTCGAGACCGAGATGGCGTCATACGAGGACCACCTCGCCCACGCCGAGCAGGCCGAGCAACTCAAGCAGACAGTGCGCTCCGAAAAGCGCAAGGGTGTTAACAAAGGATCCAGCTACACGGTCAGCTTCTGGGATCAGATCGTCAGCTGCATCTGGCGCCAGCTCCTCGTCAAGTGGGGTGCACGCGGCGACCTTTATGTCAAGCTGTTCACCATCATCTCGGTCTCCTTCATGATCTCTTCGCTTTTCTACAACCAGTCCTACGATTCGCAAGGCGTCTTCACACGTGGAGGTATCCTCCTCTTCGCCTGTCTCTTCAACGGTTGGCTTCAGCTCTCCGAGTCCTTCGAGGCTGTGGCTGGTCGCCCCATGCTCAGCAGACATCGCCAGTTCGCCTTCTACCGCCCCTCCGCCGTGGTTCTGGCACGCGCCCTTGTCGACATCCCATTCTTGCTCGTCCAGTGTTTCCTCTCCTCGATCATCATCTACTTCCTCGCGAACCTGAGGAGGGACGCTGGCGCTTTCTGGATCTTCTACGTCTACTGCTTCCTCTCGTCGTACAGCTTGACCGCGCTCTACCGCATGTGTGCTGCCTTTTCCCCCGGCTTCAACGAGGCAATCCGATTCTCGGTACTCGCACTCAACGTCCTTATCATCTGGGTCGGCTACGTCCTTCGCAGGCCTCAGATGAATTGGCTCGTCTGGCTCAACTACGCCCAGCCCATCAGCTATGCCTTCGAGGGCTTCCTCGCCAACGAGCTCAACTACGACATAGAGTGCAACCCCGCGCAGATCGTTCCTTTCGGTCAGGTGCGTGATACGGCCTACCAGACCTGCTCGCTCACCGGTGGTGTCCCTGGCTCCATCGTCGTTCCGAGTGCAGACTACCTCTCGACCACTTTCGGCTACTCGAGGTCGCACATTGGTCGCAACATCGGTGTGGTGATCGCGTTCGCCGTTCTCTACCTGATCCCAACCATCATCGGTGCCGAGATCATGAACTTTGGCAGCGCTGGCGGTGGTGTCACCGTCTTTGCGCGCACAAAGGCAGCAAAGGCCAAGCTTGACGCGTCCAAGCCCGCCAAGGCTGATGACGTCGAGGAGAAGGCCGCTGTTTCGGCAGATCACCCGTCCCATGCAACCGACTCGAATGGCAGCATCACACGGGCCAACTCGCCTGCTGCTCCTGAAGACAAGGAAGCTAGTGCTAAATCGGCCGAGGAGCTCGACAAGAAAGCGATTTTCACCTGGAAGGACGTCTCGCTTCAGCTGCCCACTGGCCGCAAGCTTCTGGACGACATTACGGGTCACGTCAAGCCCGGCACGATCACCGCTCTGATGGGAGCATCGGGCGCCGGTAAGACGACGCTCTTGACTGCCCTCTCGCAACGCGGCGTTGCAGGCGCTCTTTCCGGTGACATCTTGGTTGATGGCAAGCCGCTCGGACCCGGATTCCAAAGGGGCACGGGCTTCGTGCTGCAGGGAGATATTCACCTCGCTTCCCAGACGGTCCGCGAGGCCATCGAGTTTTCGGCTCTTCTCCGCCAGCCTGCTGAGATCTCGCGCGAAGTCAAGCTGGCAGACGCCCAACGTGCGATCGAGCTTCTCGAGCTCGAGGATCTGCAGGATGCGCTCATCGGAGTGCCCGGCTTCGGTTTGGGCGTCGAGCGCAGGAAGCGAGTGACGATCGCCGTCGAACTCGCTGCCAAGCCTGACCTGCTTCTCTTCCTCGACGAGCCGACCTCCGGTCTGGACTCGGCTGGTGCTGCATCCATCGTTCGCCTCATTCGACGTCTTGCCAGCGAGGGTCAGGCGATCCTTTGCACCATCCACCAGCCGAGCGCGCTTCTTTTCGAGTCTTTCGACAACCTCCTGCTCCTCCAACCCGGAGGAAGGACGGCCTACTTCGGTCAGATTGGCAGCGAGCGAGCCCAGGGATCCGACAAGGTTCGAGAATACTTTGAACGCAACGGCGCTCCTGCCTGCCCTCCCACCACCAACGTGGCCGAGTACATGCTCGAGGTCGTTGCCCAGAAGTCCGAGAAGCCCTGGTCGGAACGCTGGAAGGCGTCACCCGAAGCTCGCGCCCTTCGCGCCGAGGTCGAGGCTATCAACTCGGAGCGCGCCTCGCGCCCTGTCGTAGAAGACTCGCGATCCACGCGCGAGTACTCTGCGACGCTCAAGACGCAGATCGTGGAATGCACCAAGCGTCAATTCCGCGATCTGTGGAGGGACTCGGCATTCGCGTACGGCGTGCTCTTCTCCAACATTGTCACTGGATTCGCGGCGGGCGGTGGATTCGCTCACCTCGGCAACTCGGTGACCGACCTGCAGTACCGCGTCTTCGTCGTCTTCCTTGTGATCCTCAACTTCCCTGCCACGGTCAACTCGATCATCTCGAAGTTCTGGGAGATGCGCATCACTTTCGTTGTGCGCGAGGGACCATCGAAGACCTACTCGTGGATCGCGTTTATGACGGCGTTTGTGGCCGTCTCGCTTCCCATCGCGCTAGTCGCATCGGTGCTCTTCTTCCTTCCCTCTTTCTTTTTGCCTTTCTACTCGCAAGCTTCGACGGTCGCTGGCATGTGGTACCTGATGATCTTCCTGGTCACGTGCTACGAGATGTTCTTCTCGCTGGCGCTGGCGGCGGCCTGCCCGACACCAGTGACAGCTGCCAATCTGCTGCCCTTCCTGCTGCCCTTTGTCGCCATTGTCAATGGCGTCATCAAGCCCAAGGCGACGCTTCCAGCGCCCTGGTCGGGTCTGATCTACGCCAATCCGCTGTACTGGTACGTTCGCTCGATGGTGGGCAACATCCTGCACGATCTGCCGGTGCGATGCCGCGAAGAGGATCTGGCCATCTTCAACCCACCTCCCGGCCAGACTTGTGGCCGGTACGCACTCGACTGGGTGCAGTCGGTGGGAGGACAGCTTCTCAACGCGGATGCCACCAGCAACTGCTCCTTCTGCCAGTACCAGGTGGGCGACCAGTTTGCCGCCACGCTCGGAGCCACTTGGGACTTCCGCTGGAAGGGTGTCGGCATTGTTGCGGGATACACCATCGGCCAGCTCTTCCTTGCCTACCTCGCCTACTGGTACTTCACCGAGAAAGGCTACGGCCTCGGCGGCGGCCTCGTCTCGGGTCTCGTCGGTAAGGTCAAGCGCTTTGGCAAGGGTCGCAAGTAATACTAGTCGACTTTCCACTCTTTATTGCAATCATAGAATAGATTTGGGTCTCATCGTTTCGTACCGAGTGTTGTGCTGTTTCGCCATATGTGTGCTCGCCATTCTCTGTCCACGCCCAGGCCCCTTCTCAGGTTCTGGACCACTCGCATCGCTTCAGGATTGAGCCACAACCACACTCGGCGTTTACGCAAACTGAAGGAACGTCATTGCTAGCACGCGATGAGCGGGAGTTGCTTACACTGCAAGTGCACTAAATTAAATCTGAATGAAGACCGACTAAGCATGCGGCGGTGATGCATAGCTCACGCGCTCTTGACTTCCTCGATGAGGCGCTGCAGGGCTGCCTTGGTGTCGACGTCGGTGTGCTCGGTGATCACGGCGACGCCGCGCTGTGCCTCGGCGTCGATACGGGGCTGGTCGAGGTAGCTGACGTGGCCGGTGTTACTTGCCTTTGTGAGGTCGTAGAAGGCTGCGGCTAGCTTGTCCGACATGCCTGCATTCTGGAATGTGGGAAGCCACTGATCTTCGGGGACAGGAACGGCGTTGACAGGCGTACCTGTGATCTCGGCGACGATCTGTGCAATCTCAGGCACGGTCTTGGGGGCAGTGACGAGCTGAACGGCGGTGATGTGGCCCTTGCTAGCGGCATCAGCTGCGGACGAGGGCGGGGCGATGAGATACTTGAGCGCCTTTTCTGCGATAGCGGTGGAGTCGATGAGTGCGTAAGGCTTGTCGAATGGGAGAAGCATGGAGGGAAGGATATGGGGAGGGTTGATGGCGAGCGGAAGCACCGAGTTGAAGTTGGAGAAGAAGTAAGGTGGGCGGAGAGCAATGGCTTCTACGCCGTCACGGAGGTCGGCGAGAAGGCCGGTCTCTGCGATGCGGACATTGTTGATGGGGCCTGTGCCCGAGGCCTTTTCTGCACCGATGGACGAGAGGAAGACGATTTTCTTGAGCGTGGAGCTGGCATTTGCGGCCGCCACGATGTTGTCGATGAACGTTTTGGAGAGGGTATCGGGATCTTCCTCGCCGTAAAAAGGGGGGTTCATGATGTACGCAGCGTCACTCCCGTCAAGAGCGTCCTTGATGGAAGCAAGATCGGAGACGTTGAGCGAGGACTGTGCAATGGAGACGTTGGAGCCGCTGGCTTGGAGCTTGGCAGGCGAGCGGGCGGCAAGGCGCACGCGGATGTCGGGATGCCTGTCCTGCAAAAGCTGGGAAAGGCGGGAGGCGCTGGCCGAGGAGGCAGGGAAGACGCTGATCTGAGTCAGTGTGGACATTGTAGCAAATATGGCTGATGTTGGGAGGAGTGGGGCGTCTGGCAGGACAAGGCTTGGTAAGCAGGAGTGAGTGAGTGATGATGAGAATGGTGCGGGCAAAGCGGGAAGCAATCGACTTATATAGACAAGCTAGTCCAAGGGATGGCGCTGAGCTTCATAAATCCGCGTTGCAGGCGGTGCTGTGTTCGTCAGACACAACCTTCATTCTCATACGATACCGTACGTCCACACAGTCAGTTCTACCGGCACGGACCAGCAGAGATACACTCACACGCGGACCGGCGGCCGTTGAGGGGTTGGCTCAGCCGTAATGTAACCACCACGACGGCAGACATCGGCGAGAGACCCTGCGTACTCATCGCGGATGGCGGCGACTGACACCCTCGCACTGAGGACGACGTGCGAGCGGAGGTGCCATGTGTCAAACCCACGGACGCCACGGACATTTGACAGGGTCGTTGTGGCCGATGACACCTTCTTTGCAGCAGACTGCAACACTGCTGGACCCTTATGTCCGTGGAGACCATGACGGAATCGCCGATCGCAAATCCCGACGCCGATGGAGGCAACATCTCGATTGCGAATAACGCTCATTAGTTAACGCCGGCTGTCGAAGCATGAAGCCCTTGTTGTCCTCGGGCGCATGTCGCCATTCGGTGGAGCTTGCACTAACCCCGGAAGGTGATGCACAAGAGACTCGCACCTGCTGCTCGCCGCAGGCGAGGTTCTAGAAGCGCAATCAGCGCAATCTGGTTTTGCTTGCAGAACGGCGGTCGCTAACCGTCAACGGTAGATGGCATTTTGCTGAGCGCGAACATTAAACCCGCAGATGCGCGTCTGCGTACAGCCGAGATTTGTGTGACAACCGCGTCCTACTCGACTGGGGCCGTGCGCCGGTCGGAACATCTTCTTCTCTTTCTCACACCTCGAAGCAGTCTAGGATCCTGCTGCGCCATGCCCGTCGTTCACGTCGTCTCGTTCAAGTACAAGGACTCGGTCTCGCCAGAGCAGAGGCGCGGGCTGTACGACGACTTCAACACCTTCCGTACAGCCTGCCTGTACTCTGATGGCCAGCCGTACATTCTCGACTTTAAGAGCTCCACCCACAACACCTCGCCCGAGAACGCGGGCAAGGGCTTCCACCACATCTTCATCTCCACATTCCCTTCGCAGGAGCACGTCCAATACTACCTCGAGCACGATCCCGTCCATCTTGCCTTTGTAGTACGTCAGTTGCCATCTACTCATCCCACGAACCAGTCACTGATTACCTCCCAAATACCCTTTTTTTTTTGTAGGACAAGGTCAAGCCTGCGCTGGCCGATGCCTTCATTTACGACTTTGAGATCTAGAAATGCGCGCATCGTGCTGCGCAATGTTAACAGTCTCGAGCTAATAATACAGTATACCCCGTCCTTGTGCGCTTCGATACATCAGGAACGAGCACGCGCCGAGCTGGACGACAAGACCGCACGTGCAGGTGCTTTGCCCGCCGTGGTGATCGGTGCAGCCGCTTCGCGCGTATTGGTCGCATTTGACAGCGGTCGCTTGACACTGCTCCCTTGCACCCCTTCGCTGCGCCGCAACGAAGCCGCCGTCGGCCGCGTCACGGACGAAGAAGAGGCCGACACGACCCGTCGCGAAGTGAGCGCTGGCGTCTTGTTCCCATTCAAGCTCGACACGGCACGCGATCTGCGCTGCTCATCCAGCTCTTGCTTCTCGCGCGTCGACATTCGGCGTCGCGATGGCTCTGCTGCTGCTTCCACTACAGCCGGCTTCGACAATCTTGGCTGCGCGATGGCAGCATCGTCAGCTTCGGGTCTCGGCCTCTTGGAGCTCCTCGGCGACGCCTCTTTCGAATCCGAGCTGCCGGTGCTCACTCGACTTGACGTTCGTCGACCTGTGCTGCTCGACTCGTTCGCCTGCTCCTCCCGGTCTGCTTTGCGCTTTCGTCCTTCGACGCGTTCGGATGTCTTTTCATACTCTACGGCTGCGGGTGCAGATGATCCGTCTGTCGTGCCTCCGCCCGACAGACGCGACGACCGTCGTGGTGCTGCTCGCGGCTTGCTCTTTGATGGCTCGGTCCACTTGTTCCCTCCAAAGATGGCCCCAAGCTCAGGATTGTTGCTGAGGCTCTCGCCGAAGCTGAGAGCCCCGCTCGCATCGTCAGTTCCTTTTTGCCCATCTCCGTCTGAAGTGGCTTCCTCGCTGGCAGCGTCCGCCGCCGAAACGGTGTCCGAGGCAGGTGCCGTCTCGGCGTCCTCCGCCACCACAGAGAGGCTGCCTAGCTCTGAGCGCCGTTTGGCATCGCGTGCGTGAATCTCGGCCACTTCGCCGTCGGCCAGGCGCTTGAGTGAAGTGAGAGGACCTATCTTCTCGGGACAGCCTCGCTCGAAACTCGGTGCGGCGGGATCCGCGAGCACGCGGTCGCGCTCGTTGCGGAGCTCTTGCGCTTCCGCTTCGAGGACGTTGCATCGCTGGGCCAGCTGCACTCGTGCTTGTTCGGCCGCCTGTAGCTCTATTCGGAGAGCGTCTGCTCGCTTCATGATCTCTGCAGACTGTGTCGCTTGCGCCGTGTCCTCCGGGCTGGAGGGCTGAGCTGCCTGGTCGAGCAGGTTGCGCGCACGCTGTTCGGCTTCGGCAAGCTTGCGCACTTCCTTGTCCTTGCGCGCAGCATTTTGCTCGGCGACAGCGAGCTGTTTGACAAGCTGAGCAAGCTTCTTTTCCAGCTCCGACTTTTCGCGCTGCCAGTCGATGCGCTGCGAGGTTCCGCCTGCCGATGTGCCGCTTGATGCGGCCGCAGCGGCCGACGCGAGCGAGCCGACGTGCACTGGTCCGTTGGCCTTGTTGAGCGAGAGACGCGCGTCGTTACGCAGATCCTCATGGATGCCGTGCTCCAGTTGCGCGACCCACGCCTGCTCCTTGAGCTCGGCAGCGAATCGTTGGTTTGCCGTCGCTTGGTGAATGTTGCGTTCGGTTCGGAGGTCCAGAAGCGACTGCACATGCGTGCTGATGGCTGTCGACGTAAGCTCGAGAGCGCGCAAAGCGGGATGCAGGGCTTTGCTCGAAGATGCGGAGACAAGCATGCCCGACGAGGTCGAGCGCAGGCTGTCGGTGGCTGGGAAGAGGTCTCTTTGGAAGAGAGGTCGATGTCCTTCGAGCCACGCGTCTGACGTAGAAGCCTTTCTGGACGAGGCGCCATGGCTGCTGAGACTGCCTGAGGATGTGGAACGGGTGCCAGCCGACCTTGGTGCAGATTCCGCGTCGCGCTTCTTGGCATCCTCTTGCTCGGCTTCGACCATATCGAGGAGCTCCTGGTCGGCGCGTCTGGCTGCGTTGATGGCATCGGTGGCAAGTCTCTTGAGCGCCTGGTTGTATTCTACGAGTGAGGTGCGCTTCTGTTCGAGTTCCTGTACCTGCTGAGCATAGGCGCTGGCGGCGCTTCCCCTAGTGCTTGACGACGTGGGGAGATCGTCAAAGGCAGAGGCAACGATCTGGAAGTCGGGCACGGCCGACCGAATGGCCGAGCTGGTCACCTCGCCAATCCTCGCTCGCACACGCGCCACCGAGCGATCATTGGCTGCCTTGTACTGCAGAGCGGATGCCTTGATCGCTTGCAGATCTCGACGCATGCGGGCCAGCGCGTCCTTGGTGGCCTTGTGTGCATTCTGCTCTGCCTCGAGCTGTGCAGAGACGTGGGTCAGTTTGGCTTTGGCCGCCTCGGACTTGCGCTCAAAGTCGGCGGCGCGCTCAGACTCCTCCTTGTGGAATCGCTTTGCACGTTCGAGTGAAGCGGCGAGCATACGATTCTTGGCGGTGAGGGCGGTGCGCACCTCGATGTCTTCCTCTCGCTGCGAGATCATGGCGTGGAGTGCGTCGGCAAGCACACCGACCGAGTCTTGATGCATGCCCGCCACATTGAGGGCGGAGCGGAGGTATCCACGAGAAATCAGGGTAGCATTGAGCTGTTCGAATGTGGGACGGCCCTTTTCAGTGCCGTCGATCGAGTCGTCCGCAGATAGGTCTGGCAGGTGGTCATAGCTGGGCGCTTTTGGTGCTGGCGCGGTGTCGCCGGCCGGAGAAGCCGAGGTTGGCACCATCGCTTCGGAGTGTGAGTGATGGCGTCTCGTGATGGATACCGCAAAGGACCACAATCAGAAGATGGTGGCCGAGACTGTTGGACGCGATCAGGGTGCGCTTTGGTCAAGACTGGCAATCTGCCGGTGCGCAGCGCTGGAGGGTTCGGAGGTTCGGAAAAGAACAACACTCGCGACGCGTCTCGCCTTCGACTTACACCATTCTCCTCCCGCAAGGCGGCAGACGGCAGCCACGGTCCAAATTGTGGAGAGGTGGACTCACGTGATGAGGGTCTTGTGCGGGATTTTTGGCGGCGCAAGGTGCGCGGGCATCGGGGCATCGGGGCCACTCTCGCGCAGCTCGACGCGACTCTTTGCGGTCCAACACTTGAGGCTCAGCTGACACCTCTCCTCCACGTCCCTCACCACACCACCATCACCACCACAACCACCACCACCACCACCATCGTCTAGCTCTGGTCTGCGCTGGCACCAACTTTCAACATGGCCAGAAAAGGTTACGCCGACATCTCGTATCCCGAGTCCGCATATGCCGACACGTACGACGAGCGTTCCATCGCCAGTTCCTCCGAAGGCGGCGGCTCAGCCATGCTCTCGCGCCGCGCGCCCTCGATCCAATCCACCGTCTCGAGGCGCAGGTTTGAAGAATACTCGGTCACGGAGCCCAGCATAAGTAGGTGATCCTCGGCTGTGATCAGCTCGAGAAAGAAGCGCTTCGACTCGATGATGCTGATCCCTCTGTCCCTCTCCTGACTGCGCAGGTCATGTCGGTGCCAGACGCCGCTTCAAGCCAGGCACCGTGGCGCTGCGCGAGATTCGCAAATACCAAAAGTCGACGGACCTGCTACTGCGCAAGCTGCCATTTGCGCGCCTGGTGCGCGAAATTGCCAACGACTTTGTCACGTCGTACGAACACGGCGAATACGGCTCGGGCCTCCGCTGGCAAAGCTCGGCCATCCTCGCACTCCAAGAAGCCACCGAGGCGTTCCTGGTCCACCTCTTCGAAGACGCGTAAGCTCATTCCCGCCCGCTCTCCAACCATCGTTCGTCGCAAGTTTCTAACGTCCTTGCTCTGTTTATTGACTGCGCATGCCAGAAATCTTTGCGCTATTCACGGCAAGCGCGTCACCGTCATGAAGAAAGACTTCCAACTTGCAAGGCGACTGCGCGGCAGATGGGATGGTCTCGGTGGCTACTAGTGTTCCCCTTCTCCCGCATCGCATGCAGTTTCGCTCTCTTGTTCAGCCCGCTCTTCTTGTGTAAATTCATGTATCATATTCACCCGCTGCCATCGCTGCAATGCTTCTAAGGTGACAGCAGCACCGTACAGCCTACATGATCATTGTGTCTAGCCACGACAGAGGGTCTTGACACGACGATCACCAGCCAAAGATGCCCTCGGTGATGCGGCCAAGCACGCTCGTGCTGCCGTTGGAGGCGCCTGCCTTCGCGTCAGCTGCGTTCGTGCTGCCTGCGGGTGCGGCCTTGGGAGCGCCTGCAGCGCCCGAACCAAACAGAGACGAAGCTGCCTTGAACGGCGAGCCTGCCAGCCCGCTGAGGTGGTTGCCCGACACTGAAGGCTTGAATGCTACCGACGGGTCGTCAATCACCGACAGTGGGCGACCAAAGGCGGGATACGAAGGGGTGCTGCCACTTGCCGAGGCTGCCTGGCCAGACGAGTTGGCGCGTTCCGAGGCACCCTGTCCAAACGCGATCGAGTGGCGTATGTTCGAGCTGCTGGAGCCCTTGCCATTGCCAAAGCTAGGCGCGTTCGAACCGCCGATCTTGCTTGAAGAAAGCGCACTGGCACCCGCGGCCGCATCGATGGAAGGAACAGCGATCGACTTGGACGATGCTTTGTACGTCTCGGCGGTGCGGCTGGAGGGGAAGACGTCCATGCGGAACACGGCATCGCTGCCGTTGGTGAGCGCAACCTGGTGAAAGTTGTCGTCCTCCCATCGGACGCCGACCATACAGGCGCCTGCCACCACCTCGCCGTTGCGACGCAGGGCATGCAGCGCCTGGAACGACTCGGTGTAGCGGACGCGCGTGCAGCAAGACAGTGCAGGAGCCGATGGCTGCGCCGACGCCTGCTCTTGCGCCGATCCGCTGCCCGTAAGATCGATCGCCTCCATCAGCTCGACGCCGCCAACGCTGGCGAAGAGCTCGAGTACAGCCTTTTCCATCCACGTCGGATATCCGAACACGAGCACAGTGCGTTGCGCAAGGCCCAGGGTCGAGTTCTTCTCAGCCGACGCATCGCCCGTCGGGGTAGAGGCGTATCCTTCGCTCGAAGAGGTGGCGGCAGGAGTCAGAGAAGGCGAGGTTCGCTGAAGCGCAGTCGCGGATGACGCCGACAGATTGTTCCGAGTTGGAAGAAGCTTCTGCGGCGATGTGGCATCGGCAGCGGCAGGGGATCGATAGTTGGCCGTGTACATTCCGCTGCTGGTGCTGGACGTACCGAGCAAGGACGAGTGAGCCGCTGTGGACGTCTCATCTTCAAGGCGCTCTTGCGGAGGAGCATCGTCGTCCTCCTCCTCGTCCATAGCGCCACTCGCCACATTGAAGGCTGCGGATGCCGCAGGCGGAGTCGAGTTGGAGCGGATGGAGCGAGCCGGCGACTCCATCGACGTTTTGCGCGCTGGGGTGCCAGAAAGGCCGGTGTTGGCAGAGGCAGGCGCCGGTGTTGCCGACTGACGCCCACCGCGTAGGCCACCGGCACCAAAGATGCTCTCTTTGCCGCCTCGCCAGGGCGTGCCAGGCGCGGCGGAGCCGGCTCGACTGAAGGAGGCGTCGTCGCGCCTCTCGTTGAAGAAGCTCGAGCTGAAGCGACCCACGGGCGAAGGATGTCCCTTGGACGAGGGAGTGCTCTCCTCCTTGCCTGACTTGGAGGCGGGTGTGCCAAAGGCGATGCTCGAATCGGCATCCTGGACTGCCTCGGGAGAGGTGGGCTCGGTCTGGCGCGAAGGGAGCTTGTAGGGCTTGACTACCTTGGTGCGGCTGAGATAGCCGGGAATGTAGCTCATGTTGTGACTCTGCTGCTCCAAGTTGAGACGCTGCTGTTCGATGAGCGCCTGCTGGTGCTGCTGCTGTTGGAACTGCTGCTGATGCTGCTGCTGCTGTTGCGACGACTGTGGCGTGCCAAAGTGCGGCAGCCCGTGTTGCTGCGTCGCATTGTGGTGGTGCATGGGACTGCTGAACGGCTGCGTCTGCGGCTGAGCCGAGAAAGGTGCGGGAGAGGAGGAGTTGAAGCCGAGGGCGCCCTGACCGAAGGCATTGCTTTGTGTCGAGGTCTGCTGACCAAAGTTTTGCGACTGCGACTGCTGCGGAAAGCCCGACGAGGTGGATGAGCCAAAGAGGTTGGTGTTCTGTGGCGTGCCGAAGAGGTTCGGCTGGGTCGAGTTAGACGCAGGAGTGCCAGTGTTGCCAAAAAGAGAGCCTGACGGCTGCTGCTGCTGCGTTGGCTGCTGTGCACCTGGAGTGCCAAACATCGGCTTCTGTCCAAAGAGCCCGCCTGACTGCGGCGTTCCCTGCTGCTGCTGCTGCTGCTGTTGCTGCTG